TAGCTTCAGGAAATAGAAGACAACTGGCAGTGACCCTGTTTTGGGGAGAGGAGAAGAAATCTGGGAATTTCTATTGTTTTCGCAGGGAAGACTCCCAAAAAGATGATGTCATTTTTGAGCATAGCACAGGTCAGGTGCACAGCCTCAGCCAGACATCTCAACCCATGATTTGGCTGCTAGAGATATTCTTCAAAGCAGTGTTCAGCTGCCACCTCAGCCTTTACGTGCGGTGGCATCTGCTGGCTGATACTCAACCATCGCCTTTGTCAGGAAACCGTTCTCTCCCATAAACTCCTCGTTCAAGCTTAATCCTGGCGTCAGAAACCAGGCAGGAGAGCACCGGTTCTGCCAGCGGGACCCCATGCTCCCAGTGCAGCATTTCATACGTGTCAAGTGCAGCATTTTATACGTGCAAAGCCCCTGCCCTCGGCAGCTCGGGGCGAGACACTCCCCGCCAACAGCAATTCCCTTTCCTAACATCGCCCATTTGTGGGCATCCCCACGCGCCTGGTGTGGGTGTTATCAGATCACTGCCAAAACGTCTTTGCAGTTAGGACACCCAGCCAAAGACACTCGGCCCCGGACATGAAACAAGGGAGGCAGCATCACAGATTGTGCAGACACCTGCATTGCCCGCCGAATTTATTAAAAATCCCACTGACCATCCACGGTTCACTTTGAGCCTACTCACAGGAAAGCACTCTCAAGGTGGTAATAACTGAGAGACTGAGGTATATGCCACCGGGGAAAAGTTTGAATTAAAGCGGAAAATAACACATAGATGCCAAAAAAGCTACCTTCAAACCCCTCAATTCAATACCATTTCTCCTACCTTTGTTTTTTTTTAACTCTAATCCTGGAGGAGTTGAAATATTCCCCTTGCCTGAGTTAACGCTGCCAACGTGATGCTGCTGGAACCACTTACATAAATTTTCATACTACATCAATGCACTGAGATTTTCCACTAGATGCAGTAAAACAGACTCATGTTTTTGGACCAAAAATCGATTTCACTTTGCACTTTTAGGTATGTGGTATATGGGGAAAAAAAAAATAAAAGAAAAAAACAAACACTAGAAAAAATTGCCATGAAAATAAACCATGTTTTTCATCTGAAGGAACGGCATGTTCTGCCTCCCTTCTCTCCACTCTCTGGAGTGTTTTCTATTAATATTAACAATTTTTTCTGCCCAGCTGTTTCCTCCCAGTGTAATCTCCCATGTAATCTCTTCACAGGTGTAGAATCTTTATACCCGCCCCAAATTGCTTTTTTCCTGGCTGGCAAAAAAAAAAAAAAAAAAAAACCCACTTTCAGAAAAAACCTGATGAACGATCTTCAGCAGGGGGATCGTGTGTTATTGTTGACAGCCGGGAGATGGGAGCTGCTCGGGGTGTATATATTCCTCCAGAGAGGCAACAAAACAAGGTGGTTCAGTCCCGCTTCCCAGGTCACATCCCACATCAGCGAGCTGCTGGAAGCAATCGCAGCGGGCAGCCGCTCTCCCGCCCAGCCCTCATCATCCCTCCACACTGTAAATCTCTCCCCAAGAGTGTTACCTGCTCTCCCTTCCCAGTCGCTCCCCGGCTCTGTTCTGGGTTGGCTGCGCTGTGATGGGGTCCCCGAGAGCCCACGCCGCTGCCTCTGCTTCTCCTTTTGCAGGGAGAGGTATCCAACTGGAGAGGCCCATCGGAGGAACGAGCAGTCTCACCTTGACTTCTGTTAAAAAATTGAAAACAGAAGCAGAGAGAAGATGTGTTCGATTGGATACCCGGGACTGATACCAGCACCAGGAGAAAACAGTGATTTTACTTTACATTCAGAAACACAATTTTCTGCGGCATGTAAGTCAAAGGAATAAAACTTGCCACAGGCAGTAACTGTCATTTATTCCTGCAGCTGAACCTCGAGAAATCCCCTATGTTTATTCTGGGACCAGGATGCCCCTGTGTGCTGTATAAGAGGACACTGGAGTGCTCCTTCCAGGCAAGTGGCACACAAATCCCTGAACCCACGAGGCAGGTGAGAGGCCCCAGCACCCCCGCGTCGCTGGCTATTGCTGAACTTCCCATTTGCCAGTAACACCCATCTGCCAGCCAGGCTTATGAACCACTGCACAAAAGCCAGCAAAGGCTGAACGGAGCCCTGGGTGGGCTTGCACTTCACAAGCGTGGCTTGTGCCTGCACCCCCTGCCACTAACTGAGCCCCCAGTGGCCGAAAGGTGGGCCAGCTGTGTCTCTGCATCTCACCCAGCTTGCAACCCAGGACCGTAAAGCAGGAAACACATGCCTTTCTTATTCATCCTTTCCAGCTGTTAGGATAAAAGCTAGTACAATTCCACTTCAATATTGCCACTTTGTTTTCAGAAAGCCTTAATGAAATAAAGCATCCAGACCTCGTTAAACATAATGCAGCCACAAAGTGAGGAAAATGCTGTTGCCTGCTGAAGAAGGGCTGTGAGCACATCCATAGGGAAGAACAGTGGGGAAAGTTCAATTATCTACTGTCTGTCTGCTACATTAGGAAAACGCACAAAAGCCCAGGTTTCAACTTCTTTCTAGAGTCATGTTTATTCGGGAAACTGCAAGGCAGGAGCTTGCATTGTATGGGGCTGAACGGGGCACACAGCCAGCACAGAGCCCCTGCTCTCATCATCCATCCACTGAGGGCTGGAGCGAGCCGTGCCTCTGCCCAGCTGACATCACTCCTCACTGCAAACAGCAAATTCACTCCAAAACACTTGGGTGCCCACCACTGAGGAGCTGCATGTCCTGCCTAACCACCAGGCATTTACTGAAGACTGGACCAGTGTGTCCAAGTCTACCCTCCTCCACCTCCCAGCTAAGGAACCCGAGGCACACGCTCAGCGCTTTGTCCCAGGTTACAGCACGAGTCAGCAGCAGCACAAGGAATAAAAGCTGATTAACAATTAACAGTAACACCGCTGTTCAATGCGTCCTTAATGTCAGCGCAAGAAAAAAAATAAAAAAGCCCACACCCAAGTCAAAGTAATTTTATTAATAACTCACAAGAGCAAATTGCTGCATTTTGCTGAGAGAAAACCACAGCTTTATGTACCCGGGCAGAGCCAGGGAAGCTGCATACTAAAATGCCGATTATGCAAATTTCTCTTATGAACATTTTTAGACAAGAATGAAGCAAGGTTTATTTTCTTTAATTATGGCTGGCAAAAAAAAAAAAAAAAACAACCCACTTTCAGAAAGCAGCCTTTCAAAGACACCTACAGCACTAAAGGGCACGGACTCAAAAGCGATGAGAGTAAGACCCCCGCAGCCCCCGCCACCTCCCAGTGGCAGAATGCATTGTGCTATCAAAATGATGAACGATCTTCAGCAGGGGGATCGTGTGTTATTGTTGACAGCCGGGAGATGGGAGCTGCTCGGGGTGTATATATTCCTCCAGAGAGGCAACAAAACAAGGTGGTTCAGTCCCGCTTCCCAGGTCACATCCCACATCAGCGAGCTGCTGGAAGCAATCGCAGCGGGCAGCCGCTCTCCCGCCCAGCCCTCATCATCCCTCCACACTGTAAATCTCTCCCCAAGAGTGTTACCTGCTCTCCCTTCCCAGTCGCTCCCCGGCTCTGTTCTGCGCTGTGATGGGGTCCCCGAGAGCCCACGCCGCTGCCTCTGCTTCTCCTTTTGCAGGGAGAGGTATCCAACTGGAGAGGCCCATCGGAGGAACGAGCAGTCTCACCTTGACTTCTGTTAAAAAATTGAAAACAGAAGCAGAGAGAAGATGTGTTCGATTGGATACCCGGGACTGATACCAGCACCAGGAGAAAACAGTGATTTTACTTTACATTCAGAAACACAATTTTCTGCGGCATGTAAGTCAAAGGAATAAAACTTGCCACAGGCAGTAACTGTCATTTATTCCTGCAGCTGAACCTCGAGAAATCCCCTATGTTTATTCTGGGACCAGGATGCCCCTGTGTGCTGTATAAGAGGACACTGGAGTGCTCCTTCCAGGCAAGTGGCACACAAATCCCTGAACCCACGAGGCAGGTGAGAGGCCCCAGCACCCCCGCGTCGCTGGCTATTGCTGAACTTCCCATTTGCCAGTAACACCCATCTGCCAGACAGGCTTATGAACCACTGCACAAAAGCCAGCAAAGGCTGAACGGAGCCCTGGGTGGGCTTGCACTTCACAAGCGTGGCTTGTGCCTGCACCCCCTGCCACTAACTGAGCCCCCAGTGGCCGAAAGGTGGGCCAGCTGTGTCTCTGCATCTCACCCAGCTTGCAACCCAGGACCGTAAAGCAGGAAACACATGCCTTTCTTATTCATCCTTTCCAGCTGTTAGGATAAAAGCTAGTACAATTCCACTTCAATATTGCCACTTTGTTTTCAGAAAGCCTTAATGAAATAAAGCATCCAGACCTCGTTAAACATAATGCAGCCACAAAGTGAGGAAAATGCTGTTGCCTGCTGAAGAAGGGCTGTGAGCACATCCATAGGGAAGAACAGTGGGGAAAGTTCAATTATCTACTGTCTGTCTGCTACATTAGGAAAACGCACAAAAGCCCAGGTTTCAACTTCTTTCTAGAGTCATGTTTATTCGGGAAACTGCAAGGCAGGAGCTTGCATTGTATGGGGCTGAACGGGGCACACAGCCAGCACAGAGCCCCTGCTCTCATCATCCATCCACTGAGGGCTGGAGCGAGCCGTGCCTCTGCCCAGCTGACATCACTCCTCACTGCAAACAGCAAATTCACTCCAAAACACTTGGGTGCCCACCACTGAGGAGCTGCATGTCCTGCCTAACCACCAGGCATTTACTGAAGACTGGACCAGTGTGTCCAAGTCTACCCTCCTCCACCTCCCAGCTAAGGAACCCGAGGCACACGCTCAGCGCTTTGTCCCAGGTTACAGCACGAGTCAGCAGCAGCACAAGGAATAAAAGCTGATTAACAATTAACAGTAACACCGCTGTTCAATGCGTCCTTAATGTCAGCGCAAGAAAAAAAATAAAAAAGCCCACACCCAAGTCAAAGTAATTTTATTAATAACTCACAAGAGCAAATTGCTGCATTTTGCTGAGAGAAAACCACAGCTTTATGTACCCGGGCAGAGCCAGGGAAGCTGCATACTAAAATGCCGATTATGCAAATTTCTCTTATGAACATTTTTAGACAAGAATGAAGCAAGGTTTATTTTCTTTAATTAAAAACAGAATCCTACATAGTTCATTAGCATGGATTCAGAGCAGAATGAATATTAATGTAGCCCACCTCTCCCAATTCTACCTGCCAGAAATATCAAGGAAAAAAGGTTAGAAAATGGATTCCTCAGCAACTGTAAATGCAACTGGCTGAAGTCACTGCAAGGCTGCTGGCATCTTTGAAAGGTCACGGTGATCAGGGAAATCTTTTTGACTAGCAAAAAGGCAAATGATACTGCCACCTTCAAAAAGGTGAGAAAAGAGGATGTGGGGAACTACAGGCTGACCAGCCTGACTCCAGTCCCCAGGAAAATTATGGAATAAGCTATTATGAAAGCTGTTCAAGGCACATGAAACACCAGGTGATGGAGAACAACCAGGCAACGCTAATTTCCCAAGGGAGCATTCTGCCCAACCATCCTGCCTGCCACCGAGGAGGCAATGACAGGCTCCATGGCGGAGGGGAAACAGATGTCGTTCCCCTTGACCAGAGGGAGGCTTTCAGGAGCCCTGTATCCAGGCTGTGGATGAACAACAAGGCAGCTGGAAAAACTTCCGCACCATCGGGCTCAGAACAGTCAGTGGTTCAACTCTGTCAGGTGGTTACAAGTGACATTCCTCAGCAGTCAAAACTGGGGCAAATGATGTTGAACATCTTCCTTAGCAACATGGGGCGCAGAAAGCCCAGATAAGGACACTGCCTTGCCTATCTTGGAGAAGAGACAGCTTAGAGGAGACCTAACTGCAGTTTCCCACTACAGAAGGGACTGTGGAGAAGGCAGAGCCAGACTCTTCTCAGGCATTCAGTGAAAGGGCAAGAGACAACAACAGCAAGCTGCAATCAGGGAGATGGCCAGGAAGAAGAAACACTCGCCCATGGGAGCAGCTAAGTGCTGGAATGGGCGCCCAGACAGGTTGTGAAACCTCCACCACTGCAGGTTTCCAGACTTCAAGGTTTTGAGCAGCTTGGTCTAACTTTGCAGTTGGCCTGGTACTTCACAGAAGGTTGGACCAAATGACCTTTCAACCTAATTTTTTCTATGATTCTGTGATTCTAAGTGTAATCCAAATAGAAGTCTAATCAGTAAAAAGCCACCAGTCACATTTATTCTGGCAGGGTTCAGGCTGTTCCACCTCTCAGGTTTCAGATACCATTACTGTGCTGCTTCAGCCAAAAACTTCATATACTGTTTCCGAGCAGGAAAATCATCAGCCGGCCTGTTGTATGGTGTCCAGACAGGTTCTCCAACAAATAGCCTCATTGCCTTCACGTAATTCTGTCAAAGAATAAGAAGTCACAAGTAATTTAAGAGTTCCTTTCCATTAGATCTTAATTCTGATGATAATGGTTTCATTTGCACGTCTGCATCAATTTTTGAAACCATTTCAAGATGGACTGAAAGCTTCACATGTTCCAAAAAACTGTACCACTACGCTGTCGTTCCTGCTCCCTGCTACTGCAGTGGAAGATTTTGCACCTATGCAGTGATATATTTTGTCACAACCAGCATCTCCAGGTCAGGCAGAGACAGTACTTCTGCCCCTTTCAAAGAAAACAAAAAATATTCTGTCTTTCTTACACAAATTATTTTGCGCTGGGCCCGCAATACGGAGCAACGCAGCAAAGTGGGTGTCAAGAGGCCAGTCTTTTTTCAGTGGTGCCCAGTGACAGGACAAGAGGTAACAGGCACAAACTTGAACATGAGGAGTTCCATCTAAACATGATGAGGAACTTCTTCACTTTGAAGGTGGCAGAGCCCTGGAACAGGCTGCCCAGGGAGGTGGTGGAATCTCCATCTCTGGAGACATTCAAAACCTGCCTGGACACGTTCTTGTGCAGCCTGCTCTAGGAGGACCTCCTTTGGCAGGGGGGTTGGACTAGATGATCTCCAAAGGTCCCTTCCAACCCCATATGATTCTGTGATCTAATTCCTACTTGCTTAGTTAAATAACAGCAATCAGAATACTCAAGATGGCTATACAGTGCTTTTGAGGAATACCAGAGGCTTCAAAGTGAGAGCCATAAAAAGCTTGAATGGGAACTGCAAACACCAGCCAAAAAATAACACTAGGAGAAGTGAAAAGTCTCCAGATTCCAATGGGAAAAGCAACAGCCCCTGCCATCAGTTAACCAAAAGTATGCCAAGTGCAAAGGTCCAGCTGTGGCAGCAGAGAATGGGATTTTACATCCTGCAGAAGTGCCCAAACCACTGAGTTATGGGGAACTCTCCTGTCAACAATGCTACAGGTTTAGACCCTACCTATTTTGTAAACACTGCTCAGTGCTTATCGTGCACCCAGGTGCTCAGCAATGTCAAGAATAAAGTTAGGTACACAAAGAGCTGAGCTGCAAAATGCAAAGGTCTAGAAGCACCTGAAGACTTGACTTTGAAGATGGCACTTCTGTACTAAAGTTCCTGAAGTGGACAAACATTTAAGACTTCTTGTGGATTCAATCCTTGACATTTTGTCTATGTAAAGTAAAAGCCTTCAATGAGCAATGGTAGTTGATTCACTGTGGATCATCTCAAAATGCAAATACCAAAAGTCAAGTTTTTCACCAAAGCGGCAGATCTCTTTTTTACACGTACAATAACTGCTATCTGGACAGCCAACTCAAAATTACACCATTCTCAGAGATGGGATTTTGCCACACAGCAGTCATTTCCCCATTTTCCAGGGATAACGCTAAGGTTACAAACATATTTATAAAAGCCCACAAGGACAGACACACCGGTCAGGACTCTGTGTGCCAGTCTCACAATCCCACTGCCAAAAATACCCTCCAAAAGCAGGCCACCTCCTGTGGAGCCAGCATCAAGCCTAGCACACGCTAGCTGCAAGTAGTGGCTCTGGACTCTTAAATCCTTCTTTCCCTTGAAGGTGAATTTAGCACTTGCAAAAAACGCCACTGCCAGACACAGATACGCTGTGTCTATGCCTGTGAAGATACACAACAAGGCAGCACAGAAGGATCCATCTCCACCATCTCTACCTCAGCCAACAGTGGGGGCAATTGTGTGAGGGACAGCTGTAGGGCCCGGCTCTCACGCTGCTGTCACATAAGAGATGCTACAGATACCACGTGGCAGTGACTTGCAGTTACAGCTGAGGAGAGGAAGCTGGATTTGTGACCTGGAGATGAAAGGTTCAGCCGCTGTGAATTATTTAGTATTTTTCATATTCCTACTTCATATTTAATATGTTTTGCTAATGAACTGCAAGTCTCAGGGCATGTAGTTACTAATGTGATACTATATACACACTTGCATGGATTTGTCATTAAAATTTACGCTAATCTATAGCAACATACGTTCTCATCCAGTGTAAATCGGTGATATATGCCGGCAGGGAGGGTTATCATGTCTCCTTTTTCCATGGAAATCCGGATCCATTTGTCATCCTTGTCTCGAACATCAAAATAGCCAGATCCATCTAAGATGTAGCGAATTTCATCGTCTAGGTGTAAATGCTCTTCGTAAAACGTTTTTATCTAGGAACAGCAAGTATCTCTTAAAACTACTGATCACAGAAAAACCGCAAAGAAATCTGATAGAAACCTTTGTCTGCAAAGCAGACAAAGGCTTTCAAAGGGTAACTGCACAGTGATTTAACTAACAGATGAGACCAAGGAGGTTAAAACGGCCAATCCAGACAGCCAGCCCCTGTCTCAGCACACTTCTAAGCAGGCTGCTACATTTCCTTTAGAAGACAGGAATTTCTCTGGCAAGAAACAGCAGCTATGGCTGCACATAACCAGTCTCTCAACAACAGTAAAGCCTACACCCATCTGAGAGAGAGACAGGTAAAACTTCCCACTGAAGGATTTAGTCCTCGCGGTTGTTCAGTTTGGTCATTTCGTGCCTTTTTTTTTTCCCTGACATGCAAAAATAAAACACAGCTACAGATTATGTGTTCCCCCCTCTTTAACACTAGTATAGGGTTGAATTAGCCCCACAGGCTAATATAACTCCATGTGAAAATGCAGTTATTGCCAAACATGGCCCATCTATGGCAATCTGATGTAAAAACCATGTCATTCCTGCCCCCACACAGTGAGCCCCAGCTCCAGGCTCCCTCCTCCCAGGCAGCAGCAGCAATGGTTCTTTTATTTTCCAGAATGGTGAATCCTTTGTATACACAGCACAAAATAAAACATGTTTTAAAGGTTCAATTAACAGAGTCTGAGCAGGTTAGTGAGTGCACAGAGAGCAGTGCAATGCCAGGTACCATCACCTGCTGAGATCTGGGTGCTGTTTAGCCACGCTACTGCAGGTGTCCCTGAGCAGGTACTGATCCAGCGTGGCAAGGGGAGCAAAAGCCCACGTGCCCTGCCAATAACAGCCCATCTTTGTGTCAGACAGAGCCCATCCAGGCAACCTAAGTTACTACCTCATTCACCTTCGCATCAATTTAATACCAGTATAACACAACGGGCTTAAAACAAACTGGTAAATGGAAATTTAATGGAAATATGGAAGTGCCACTGGGTTGCTGTCCTCAGGCCAGAGCAGCACACCAGCACCCTGAAGCCAGGGGGAGGAAGCTCCTTCTAGGAGGCTGAGAGCCTTTTTAGCTGTTTTGAAATAGCCAAGGCACCAGCTTTCCAAGTTAAAAAAAAAAAATCTTGTATGGGGAATGTACCCCTCCCGATTCCACAAGGTTAACATTCACTTTGAAAAGACTTATTTTGCCAGCAGCCGTGAGGATGTTCCAGCCTTCAAAGCCCATGCCCAGCTGGCAACCGCCTGCCTTCCTCCTTGGGGAGGCTCTCCAAGGACAGGGCAGCATCGGTGGGGCTCTGCTGGTAGGAATCCTCATTTCAAAATGACACAGTGACGAGAACTATCCTTAAACCCTTTGAAGGCAGCCTACAGAAGCAAAAGGCTTTTTAAGTAATATCAAAACTGAATTTTTTAACGTTAAGGACTTCAGCACAGGAGGTATCTTACACCTGGAAATCTCCCCCCTGCTCAGGGCCGGGCAGCCGGCCGCACACTCCAGCGGCAGCCGAGACTTCACCTTGCAAAGCCTTCTCCAAAGCAAAGCCTCACGCACCTTCTCCTCATAGTTGGGGAGCTTGTCTTTGTGTATGGTTATGATATCCATCCAAGAATAATTTTCTGCTCTCCGAATCTCTTTCAGGCACGGATCAGTCTCATAGTTATCAGCATCCAACTACAAAAAATAAAAATAAAAATAGGGGCGGGGGGCAGAATGTATTCAGACACAATTGCTTAAGTTCAGAACACTCAGACAGAATCACTGAATCTTCTAGGTTGGAAGGGACCTTAAAGATCATCTTGTCCAACTGTCAACCTAACTGACAAAAATAGACACCCACACAACAAACAAGGAGCATCATCACTAAACCATACCTCCCAGCACTACATCACCCCGTCTTTTGAACACCTCCAGGGATGGTGCCTCAACCACCTCCCTGGGCAGCCCATTCCAATGTCTGATAACCCTTTCAGTGAAAAAATTTTTCCTAATATCCAGCCTGAACCTACCCTGGTGCAACTTGAGGCCATTTCCTCTTGTCCTGTCACCTGTGACTTGAGAAAAGAGACCGACCCCCATCTCTCTACACCCTCCTTTCAGGTAGTTGTAGAGAGCAATAAGCCCCCCCTCAGCCTCCTCTTGAAAAGCAATAAGGTCTCCCCTCAGCCTCCACAGAAAAGCCCGGGCTGTGGGGAGCGCGGTTGGAGAGGGGGTGGCTCCAGGGGTAGCTCTGGCAGCTGCCATGGCCACACAAGGCGTGCCAGCTCCATGACAGGAGCCTGTGCCCAGCCCGCGGCCCACACACCCGCCCGGCGCCCCTCCTGCCTCCCCCTTCCCGGGCTGGGCACCCCGGCCCGCACGGCCATGGCGGGGACCTGCCGCCAACCTCCCTGGGGGGAGCACCGCCCCGGTTCTGCCCGCCTCCCTCAGGCCTCTCCCCGCCCCGCCGGGTGTCCGGGCCGCCCTGAGGCGCTGCCGAGGCCTGCCCCCGTTCCCCCCCGCCGTCCCGCCGCCATGTACTTTTCGGTAGGCGACGCCGAGGCTGCGCAGCTGCTCCAGGCTGACGGGGCGGTTGGGCTGCAGGCGGTGCGGCGTCCGCTGGTCCTCCTGGGACTCGTCCATGTACCAGGCCTCCACCATGTCGCGGCCGGGCGCTGCGCTCCGCTGGGCCGGGCCGGGGCGGGCTGGGCGGGAGCGTCCCGCCCCGGCGGGGCTGGAGGGGGCCGGGGCGGGCAGCGGGAGAGGCCCCGCACCGCCAGCCTGTGGGGGGAGCCTGGAACGGCCGCCATTTGCAACTCGGCAACTGGGGCTGAGGGAGCTGTTAATTTAACCTACGGCTGTAGGTTAGCGCTTGGACTTGATCTTGGGAGTCTAAAGCACAAGTCTTATGAGGAACGGCTGAGGGAACCGGGGTTGTTCAACCTGGAGAAAAGGAGGCTGAGGGCAGACCTTCTTAATCTCTACAACTACCTGAAAGGAGGGTGTAGCAAGACGGGGATGAGTCTCTTCTCCCACCGAACAAGCAATAGGACAAGAAGAAACAGCCTCAAGTTGCACCAGGGGAGGTTTAGATTAGATATTGGGGAAAAAAATTCTTCACCGAAAGGGTTATCAAGCATTGGAGCAGGCTGCCCAGGGAAGTGGTGGAGTCACCATCCCTGGAGGTATTGAAGAGACAGACAGACATGGTGCTGAGGGGACATGGCTCAGTGGGTGCTGAGGGGACATGGTGCTGAGGGGACATGGCTCAGTGGTGGGTTTGTCAGCATTAGGTTGATGATCTTAAAAAAAAGGAAAATACAGTGCTAAGACTTGCTGCCATTCTGCTGAAAAAGCTTGTGTAACCTCCATCCCTGGAGATGCTCACATCCTGAGCGACCAGCTCTAGGGTAGACAAGACCCATAAAATTACAGCTAACCTGGTCTAATGCTGGTATTGTCCATATTTTTAGAAGCACATACAAGCCCACAGCTGCTAAATCAGTACTCTCCTACAGGTTCAGCTCCCCGAAAAGAATGACTCGAACAGCCAGCATCCTCTGTGGGTCCTTCAGCCCCTGTGAAATCCTGTTGAGCTGTTAGAAGTATTACTCGCTTTCCATCCTTTAATCAGCCTTAATCTTGTAACTTTCCTCTCAGCTGAATTTTAAGGGTAAGAATGATAAACATTGCCATCAAACTAACAAACTCTTTCCAATTAGATTTCCTATTATAATCATAGAATCATAGAATTGTCTAGGTTGGAAGGGGCCTTTAAGATCATCTAGGCCAACCATCAACCTAACTCTGATAAAAAGCCATCACTAAACCGTGTCACTAAGCACTATGTCAACCTGTCTTTCTAATACCTCCAGGGATGGTGCCTCAACCACTTCCCTGGGCAGCCCGTTCCAATGTTTAATAACCCTTTTAGTGTAAATTTTTTTCCTAATAACCGATCTACCTATTAGATTCAGGTAGTAATGATTTTGCCCACCATTATTTACACTTTTTTTCCAAAGCTGCTGCTTCAAAAATAATACAGATATCCATACAGGAGATAGAATCTACATGTTTCACTGGAGATGTAGGAGTGGCAGATTATTGAATGCTACCTCTTTAGCACATTGTTTGTCACACTGTTCTGCTTCAACTAGAGATCTGATCAGGGATGATGAGGTATTTTCCTTCAAGCCAAACTTCTATTAGGATAAATAAATAGATGGATAATTGTGTGCATATATACAAAGAAAGCAGAGGGGAAAATCTCATCAGTGCACTACCTTACTCCTAGGTGAGCTTCACTGTGCAGCTTTTGATGAAAGAAAAAAAAAATTCTCACTCGTCTATTAACTCCTGCCTAGCCAGTTTCCTCATTCTATCACAGTTCATGTGACTCAAAAGACTTAAGAGCTCGTACTTGGCCTCAACAAGGATATTATAATGCACGAGAACTATTAAGAAATCAAACTGCAGCAGCTCTGCCATTCTGTAGAGCAATTAGCAAATACCAAAATATTGGTGACTCTCAGCTTAAGCCCTACTATTCAATGGGATGAAGGCACCGCACAAAGAAGTTGACAAAGGTAACATACCAAACCTGTTTCGTCTTCCCATATAGATGCATAGAAAATAAAACTATGTTGATTACTGGTAATTACACTCGAATTCAAGTGCACATTAGCCATTCCATTAATCTTATCATTGACTGGAAAAAAAAAAAAAAGTCAAACACTTGACATCTGAAAGATCTGGACAAGCTGATCATCTTCTAGTTCCATTTCAGATAAAATGGCCAATTATTACCTCTGGGACAACACTGAAGAGGAACTAACAATGCTAATGAGAACCAGTATGCAGAAAAAACCATACTTAATGGAAACAGGAAGCCAGAAACCAAGAGCTTGGGCATTAAGCAGTCAGAGAGAGGAGAATAGTAAAAATTCATGGTTCAGATTTTCCTGTGACCTGGCTTTTTAGTTTGTTCATGCTGCCTTGCAAAGTAACATTATAAAGAAATCTACAGATGGTGTACCTGACAAGACTGTGAGGCACAGGTGGGTGTTACAAGCCCATCTGCAGAGAGGTTACTGCTAGTGCCAGAGCACATTAATGGACACCTCAGTGTTAGGCCACTGACCTCTTACCAAACCAAACTATCCCAAAGTCCCCTTGCCCCCAGCTATTTTGGGCTGTTAATATATTTCTCTGTACAAAAAAATTAATTTATTTCACTAAAAGGAAAATACAGAACACTTAGGATAAAGATTTAATATTACTTCTTCAGAAGTCTGTCTTTACGGTGAATTCAGAAGTCTACATGACAGCTAAAAACACTGACCATGGCCCTTCAGTAAGATGGAGAAAAGCAAACATTCTGCATCATCAACTAAATACTGACTCGATTGTAAAAATAAAATAAAAAAAAAAACCACCACTATAGAAGAGAACTTGGTTGGTTTTTTCTCTCCCCAGAAGTTGGTATATGTTTAACGCTTCAGGCCAGAAAGAAGTACAGTTCAAAGTTCAAATCCAAAACAATTACAGCAGTTCAAGTTGTCACTCTGATGTTAGTCCTTTTCCTCCCACTGCAACAGTCTCTGGTCCCAGTACATCAGGACATTTGTTTACTAGCTCCTTCTCTTGCTAGTCTATCAGCTTCTTCATTTCCTTGGAAGCCAGCATGGCCCGGAATATGCATCTGTTTGGACAAAAGTACCAGAGCGTTAGATATGCAAGAAATAAAGAAAAAAGCACATGCATGCAATTCAATCACGCAGTACCCTTTCATTCATAGTAGGGTAGCACCTCCTCAGAGGCTCTCTCCTTACACTTAATCCTTCTGGGTTCTTCCCAGGAATGCCCATGGTCCGCCTTCCTCTAGGAAGTCTTGCTAAATTGTGAAAATCATCTTTACAAGAACTAGCAAACTGGGTGAGGACCACCTAACCTAGCCTTTCAGAACTGCAGCAGCTTAAAAAGTTCTGAAAAGCAAAACCAGAAACTGAGCTAAAAGACAGTTACATTTTAAGCTTAGGCTTCCACGAACATAAGTTTCCTCTACTAACAATACTGACAAACTAAAAATAATTATTGCAGGCATTTTCTAAGTAGTAACAAGAGACAGCAAACAAATAAGTAATATATTGGTTCCAAGAGCCTAGGTTCTATTACTTATTCGCTTTAAATAAAACAAGCAGTTTCTCTGTATGTTTTTACAGAGTGACTTTTTTGGAGGAAAAGATGTATAGATTTTTAACGTATAAACCACATATTTAATTTTTCAATAATAAGCAATGAAAGAAATGTTTGTACATTTTAACATATAATAATATGTTTTATAAAATTCTTAGTTATGGTGAAGTTTTTACAAGAAGCGCAGTTAAGGTATCATTAAGAATAAAAATGAGGTGCTTACCCACTGAATTTCTATGCCTTTTGATAGATTATCAAGTCTTTCAAAATCTTCTTTATTTATTACACTTGCTCCTGAACTTGTTCTCCAGCCATTTGTTTTCCAGTTGTCAACCCAACTCGTAATACCTATGCAAATACCATAACAATGCTATTAAAGAAGCAAGCAAGGATCAAGATGGAACAAACAGCCTTTTAATAAGACATTAACTCTGTACAAAGTCTCAGGATAAGACATTGGAGATAGAAGACACTCTCGTTTGGTTCTTTACAACTGTCTTTCAGGATTGTATTTTTCCATTATTACTTGAATTACCTGAATTACCATTTTCCTGAATAGATATTTAATCTAAAGACTACGATCTTATATACAAATTACACACAAAGTTACAACATGAACTTCAAATAAACTGAAGCTAAGGATTAGCTTGATAGTACAGTCAGCCAGAACAATCCTACAGCTTTAATTCTTTTGAGAAGTTGGGAAGACACAATGCAGAGGAAAAACTGATGGCCACCTGACTTAACAGCTTCTCCACACTAAACAGAATCCTTCAGAGAAAGACCACATAAGATTTCCACAGAACAAGGTCTAACATTCTGGCTGTCCCTTGCTGGCCAGAAAATTTACCATATTACTCCTTAAATAAGAATTTCAAATTTTATTTTCTTTTTAAGTATCTTTGCTAGTGTTGACAATGTAAGACATCCTTACTACTTTCACGACAAACAGACACGAACCAGAGAATCGCCAACCTGACATGCAAAACCTCCTAGAAAGCAAACTAAACAACATCCATTTCTACTTAATCACAAGCCTCTTTCTCTGGTATTTTAAAATGTAACTCCTACACATTTACAAAATAGCTTTGATTCAACAAGAGTGGAACTTGCACCTCAGCGACTCAGCAAGAGCAAACTGCAAGCAAAACCAGAGACTAAGATACTGCACCTGAAGATTATTCTTCTCCTCCCTCATACTTATGTGTCATACCTAAGATTAACAGGATTTTTATCCAACAGCAACTTTTTGTCCTTCATAACACCAGTTTCACAGACAAGATGGTATAGACTTTTCTCCTACAAAGTAATGAACTGCAAAGATGTTTCTGTGCTCCTTAATATTTTGAACTTGCTTCTTGCAACAAATTCTGAACTTGGATTCTACTGATCATCATGCAACACCCAGTCCTGAAGAGTAGAGACTCTTGCTTTTACTCTTCCTTCTTTCAGAATGCTTCTGGCAGAGATTGAAAAAAACAACAAAAAATCCACCAAACCACAGCCAACAAACACACACATTCTGCTCCTTTAGGAAATGATATACCTAATCTTTTGGGGAAAATAAGCTACTCGAAGGAGAGATTTATGAGATCCTCCTTAGGGAGAAGCAATGGAAAACTCCTTTAAGTTGTTTCTTAATATTTACTGTCCCTTCTTCAATTTACAAACTAGAATCAGGAGGATAAAGCACCAGCCCTTAACACTTTTCACTTCTGGATGGAACCTCTTTCATGCACATGCAAGCTAATGGAATTTGAAACAAGCAGCAAGTGACAGCTCCAACAGCTCCTTCCTTGCCTAGCAGTCACTTGTTCCCACTCAGTAGCTTTCTGTCCTAAGATATTGCTACTTAAGGCGACACTGGAAATTTTTCAAGGTAAGTTTTGTTTTACTTCCAAACATGAACCACCTGAAAAAGGAGAGAAGTGATACTCTTCCTTCCTATTCCCCCACTTTCAGGTATCAGGGAGAGGTTCTGGAAAGCACAGTGACTTTTTTGGAGGAACAGATATAAAGATTTTTAACATATAAACCATTTATTTGCTTTTTTAGTAACAAGCAATGAAACAAATAATTACTTTCAACATCAGCATTCAATTATAGGAAGTCATCCTAAGAACAGGATAATCACACCCACCCACTCCAAAACAAAATAAACAAACAAATCACTGAAGTGTGAAAGAGCAACATTTAATTTTTCTGTCAACAGTTCCAGAAGTTTTTGCTTAGAATTATTTAAAAAAAAAAACCAAAAACAGAACAACCCAAAAGTGATCCAGAAACAGCTAACGCATGTACTCTTTCTGTAAAAGTCAGAGATACAAAGAAGAAATATTTAGGCAGTTCAGAAGTATCAAAGGAGGAAGATCTGTGGGAAAGGGCAAGAGTTATTAAGAGATTAAGTCCTACTGGCTACTTCATGTGGCATTTGTAGGCAATAAAGTATTTTCCAAATCTTTGGACGAAGGTGAAACCTCAAATACACACTCTGAGTCTTCTATTCTAGCCTGAGAGTTTGGAAGTAAAAAGGAAACTTGAATATGCTCCACATTTGTGTATTAGGGCAGGCTCTCCAATCCAAACAAAACAAAACCGAACCCTGCAGGATCACAACTCCCGAGTACTTTCCTGAGCACATCCTTAACCGAGTACACACGAACAACATTTATCCTACACTGAACAGTGAATGCCTTAAGATAGAAATCCTTTAGTTACTCCTGTCATTCTTTACCGTAACAGGCACCTTCTCTCTATTTGTATTTCATGTGGTTACCAACCAATCCCTACAATATCCTGAAGTCTTTCCCCAAGCATTCATGACTATTGAAATCATGCATTTTCTTCCTTATACTCCTCCTCTCAGGCCAGAGTATGTTCTGCAGGCCTTATGTAGTGAAAACATGTGCAGCATGTCTTTATGAATCAGGAAAACTAAAATCATTAACTTACCGTTAATAGTGAACTTGCTGTCAGTGTAGATAATTAGTTTCTTGATGTTTTGACTTTTTGCTTGCTCTATTGCTTTGCAGGCTGCCTTAAGAACATTTCAACAGAATCACAGTTCAGAACAGTGTTTTGAACACATGCAATCAAATAACCCAAGTACCTGATGCTAACACAGAACTACAAAGACTATTACTGCAATCTCTCTGTCAATGAGTATCAACATGCTTCGGAACAGAGGTTTCCAAAATTATGCATGCAGATGACTGCTTAATGCATCAAGCATTAAGGAAGCCACTTAGGTTTCACTGGCAAAAAAAAAAAACCACAAACATTCTGATGCTTAATCTGTACTGTAGGAGCAGCTCTGCCCAATTTCCTATCAAAGCCTCTACCAACTGCACATCATGTTTTAGACATTTTCTCCATAACTTCGGGAAGCAAAGATTCATACCAGTTTGAACAGTCTGGAAACCCTAAAAGGTTGGTTTTGGGTTTTTTTTGTTGGGTTTTTTTTGGCACTGAAATATAGTAACAGGGAGAAGTGGTTGAGTCTGGATATAGAGCTGAAAAACTGTTAGTGACAAGTTTGACCCTGGCACATCACCATCATCTCTGTTTGTCCCTCGCTACAATGAACTTGCTGTACTTTTTAAGCAGATCAATTCCCCATTTCAGTTCATCTCCAAACACACAGTGCAGGATAGCAGCAGTACCAGAATTAAGAATGAGGCGAGAAGGGAAGACTAAATCTGACGTTGCCAACAGAAGTTTACCTCAGAAGTAACAGAAGTTACTCCTGAGAGCCTAGAATTGTTTGTTGTATTTATCTAGGGAATATGATACTCTGATCCTATCAAAATAAGAAGTCAATTCTCCTCTTAAGCACTTCTCAGCAGCCCTCATCCCAAGGTCTGAGACATCCACATTAAAAATGCAACGAATACTATACAGATTCAGGCTTTCCTAATGCAGGGCTGTAACCTATACTTGGCCAAATGATATTTGGGAACTCCCAAGGTGAATTACTCCTTGTTCAAAAAAAATAAGGATCGATAGAACTTGAAGAGAACGATTCATTTCCAGTCATAACTCCTGGTATTTTGTGCACTTCCCCCACAGCTCCATAACCGGTTTCTGAAGGCCGGAGCTGAAACAGTCACGAGTAGCATATACCACAGTCCAACATGCAGAAGCATTTTAGGACATTTACTACTTACATGTATTTCAGCTCTTTGATTTGTCTGCCGTCCAGGAAGTCTTTCACTGGTATTTCTGTGTTCAAGAAATGTATAGTAAATTAATCACCCCAAACATTCAGTGGTGTACAATGACTACATATTAGAAAAATAAATACAAGAATGCTAACTTTGTTTCTATAAAAGAGGATGAATGGAGACTCTAACTTGACCTGCATAGTGCAAGCTGCACATATGGACCTGCCAACAATGTGCAGTTTCTTTTGTTATTTTCTGTGCACACCAATTTTAAAACTGTCTACATCACTTTAATTATAGCTTCAGCCCCTAAAAGTATTATTTCCAAGCCGATTTTCCCCACATTCTTAACTCCTAGAGAAGTCAATTTCTCTTTTCCCTTCAGTAACTCCCTAGTCTCATAGCACTGTCATTAAGAGTCTCTATAGCAGGGTTTCATGTTCAAAAGGAGACTGGCATTGTAAAATACACAGAAACAAACAGCACCTATTTAAAAAAAGAATCCACCCAGCTACTTACAAAGGGTGGCCTGGTCCCCAGTAGACACCTATTCCAGCACGTGCCCTGTTACGTCCGTTACCTGAGCAACAACCATCTGTATAAACGACTGCAAAGTCACCTACAAAAGAATCACCAAAAGCAGAAGTTCAAGCTCTCCTTCAAGGACGTAGTCTCTCCGAGCAGAAAGAAATGTCTGCCAGCAGATTAATCCTCCAAAATTCCATCCCCAGAGAGCCCTTCAAAATGTTAACTAGAGAAGCCATGAAAATCAGTAATGCAGAACACCAGAAGTCCAACTGCAGCTTCACACCCTCGCTGCTCCTAAATCAGTCAGCTTCAAGAAGCATCTCTGCCTCACGTTCCATATTCTTACTACTAACTTTAAAACTTCCCAGCTACATCTGTATTTAAGTAGTCCGTAATCTAGACACACATAAAAACACACTTATAATGACCAGATTAAGCTATACAATGACACCAGTTAAAGGCAATTAATACTACACTGAAAGACAATGTGAACAAATATCACATGATTCCATTTTAAAAAGAAACAACATTACACAGGGCCTGGTGCTGCCATACACAAATGTCCCTAAAGCTTTCCCATAATTACACTGGTTATTTATGAAAGAGTACAAAGAACTCAGAAGAAATACAGGAATAATGAAAAAGCTTACCCATATATGAAAATTTATCTTCACTGACTGTTGGCGCTGAGTACACTTCTTCATGTTTCACACGCTTTGCAACGTGTTCTTCGTTTGTAGACTGTTCGTAGGGCCTTTTGCACGTATTGCAACACAAGACATTTATTTCTGGTTCCTCTCCCTGGCTTCTGTTTTCCTGTGTTACAGCTGGAGGACCGTGTGCCACTTCCAAAAAAAAAAAAAAAAAAAAGAAGAAGTTCAACTCTATACAAGAGCAAATCTCATTTGAAACAACTGCTTCTGAAGACAACAGTTGTTATCACCTATCAGCAATGCTAGCCTGTTAAACTGATACCACCCCAAGCTACTAGGCAAAACACGTTACACTATACACCGGTCGCTCTTGATCAGACAGCAGCGGAGACACGCCCTGAGGCCGGACAGGGCACAGGCCATGCCCTCCAAGCGCCCACAGACACGCTCCCACCGCGCAGACAAACCCATGGCAGTGCCCGGAGAGCCGCGGCACCCGGCCCGGCGTCCCCGGGTTACCAGGCCTCCGCCGGAGGAGGCAGAGGATGAGAAACCCCAAGCTGCCACCCCCAGTTAGGCCAGAAGCCGCACTGTTTACACAGTCAGTGGGCGGGCTGTGTCACAGCGCGGCCTCCCCCTACCCCAGGCGGAGGACGAGCTACCTGCCGCTCCGGGCTGCTGCTGCCGCACGAAGGCCCAGGCGTCCTTCTCGGTGGCGAACTTCTTGAAGCTGGCGGAGGGGAACTTATTCACTTGCTCCTGACACTCCGCCCTGCAACACAGGGGGCGGGGGGGTGAGGCTGGCCCGGGGGGGGGGTGAGGCTGGCCCGGGGCCGGTTCCCCCACACACACCCCTCGCCTCAGCGCGGCCGCGGCCCTTACCAGGTGCGGTAGACACCCGCCCGCCGGCCCTTGCGCACCGCGTAGAACATGCCGCCGCCCTTGGAGACAAAACAGGAGTGACTGAGCACCGCCACCAGCCACCGCAACATGGCGCAGCCCCGCCGCCATCTGCATCCGCCCGCCCGCCCCTCTCCCCTCCGCCCCGGGCGGGCTGCCACCACCACACCCCGCTCCCACCGCCGCCGCCGCCGGGCCCCCGCCACCGCGCGTGCGCCCCGCCCCGCCCCTTCCCGCGCACGCGCGGCGGGAGCTGCCCCCTACGGGCCGCCAGAGGGGCCGAAAGGGCTGGAAAAGCCCAGGGGGTTGGGGGGCTGTGTTTTGCCCCGCTGATACCTGAGGCAGGTGTTACGTAGCTTATAAACGGTTAAACCGGAGAGAGTCTTATTTTGGAAAAGAAACGTAGCGATTGCAGTCACCGTCCCCAAGGGTTACAAGGACTCGGTGAGATAAGAAAGGGTGTCTGCAGCCCTGAGAACATGGTGACCTGAGAGGGGTGCAATAAACATGGACACCCTCTGACGAACAGGTGGCAACAGGGAGATCATTAGTTTTAACGAGCAATTAAGCAGTTAGAGTGTTTTGCCAGCGTGAAAAGTGAGCCGAAGGACAGGTGAAGAAGATGAAGATTGAGAGGGAAACGACCCTCACTCAAAATGAGGACAGCCAGAAGGCACAACTACACATGCCCAAATATGTTATAATGCCCAACATGTTATAATATCTAAATGAACTCTCAAAAATGTAATGAATATGCTAATGTTTTCATGCAATTACATTGAATATGTATCCCTGTTGTGTGTAAATTTGACATCATCATTGGTGTGCACAATGGGAGGAGCTATCCCCTGTGCCTGCTTTCTAAACTTTGAATTGAGTCTTAGAAAGTTTTATCTGCCCGTTTGCGGTAACGCCACAATAGCTCTATCTTAAAAGCCATCCAAATCAGGTGGGAGGGGGGCACGGGATTTGCGAGGGCACAGCAGTTCACATAAACCCCTCACACTGAAGGCCCCAGGGGTGAAGTCTCTTGGGTGCCCTCTTCCCTGGCAGCCCTCATGGCTGTCCCCCTCCTGCCATCACCGCCGGCAGCCTCTCAGCCCCTAAGAAGTTGTTAAAACACATGGGAATAGCGTATGTGGAACTACAAGCTGAAGTCGGTTGCTCTCAGGGTTGCTCAGGGCACGTGAGCAGAGCAGCAGGGCTCTGCACAGCTCTCCTGCAGCCAGCCGAGAGCTGCACACCTGCCCCAGAGCAGGGCCTTCCCCTCAGCACGGACCTTCTCTGAATTGGCCAACGGGGAAACGGTGCGGCCAGGATCTGGCCTGGGGTACAGAGACCCAGCAGGGCAAGGCTTTAGCTCCGCTTCAGAGGCACAGCCAGCCCAAGCACCCCGATCAGCAGGCAGGCCGCTTCTTTCAAAACTAGAGCACGGCTTGTTCTTTTTAGCAGGGCGCAAAGGGAAGCGATAACTGTGCCATCCTTGTTATATACCAACACAATACGCAACAAAAACCACATCCAGTAATGAGAGAATACACGGAGCCCAAGACTCTTGTATCTTGAGTTGGTACCTTGAACGCAGCTGAAGACTCATGTGTTATTTCCAGCCTAATGACAGTTTAGTAACCGATTGCTGTGACGTTTGTCTCAGCAGAGGCGGCCGAGAGGCCCTGTTTATAAGAAAGCAAAGCCCAGGCAGGCACCTGAGCTGGCAGGGCCACTGCCCGCCCTCTCTGGTTGTCAGCAGGCTCCTTAGCCTGGCTTTTGGCATAACAGCGCAGAGCGGGCCCTTCTTCCTCTCTCGCTGTCGCCGGGAGAGGGGTAGCGCCGGGATGGCCGCCCGCTCCTGCAGGCCCGCCCCCCCCCACCTGCGCATGCGCTCCGCCGCGGAGTCTGCCCCCCTCCCCCCCTCGCCGGCAGCTGGTGATGACGCCACTGGCGGGCGCCGCGCCA